ACTGAGGATTCGAACGCACCGCCCAGGTTCACCTCAACCGAACGGTCACAGTCACGGCTTGCAGTACTCGAAGTTAGCCGTACAGCCAATCCTCCCGGCGCTGTAAACATCACTATACCCAGTCAAGTAAATCCACAGCCCCACGCTGCACCTGGCGCCCACCCTGACCCCCCAGTGAGAACCGGTGGGAGGAAAAGTCAGAGAGTAGGGTGGAAACATTTGAAAAAGCCACATGGACATGACACAGCCACCACACATGTGCTCTCACTGTCAACAAAAGGGATGCAGCCTTGGAGTGCAACAGCTGCAACAGTGTGGTGCACTGGCTATGGGTTAAAGAAGTACCACGTCAGTACTATAGCTTTATGACCAGCCACCGGCGCAAGTGGTTTTGGTACCTATGCCCACAGTGCCGTCTGGGATCGCACCTAGCTTCGGGCTTACTTAGAGTAACCGATAAATCTCCAGTAACCAAAAAGCGGGTATCCATCGGAGCTACTATCACAGAGGAGATTCACTGTCCAGAGGATTTCGGCAGCGGCCTATCGAGGGGCGTCAACCTTTGGGTTTCCAAGCCGAACAAAAAACTGCCTTCACCGATGACAACTGCATCTACCTCAAGCTTAAGAGCCACACCAGAGAAGACAACCAACGGACAACATAAGGAGTGGGTTAAGGCAGAGAAAAAGCTGAAATCATCCGTGAAAACGCACCTACAGGACCGGATAATGTTGGCACCACTGACCGGTCTAGCTCTGCCATTCTGTTAAACGTTACTCTCTGCAGTGATAGCCTTCCGGAGCACGAGGAAAAACTGACAGGCATCTGTAGAACTCCCTTTGCGTCTTGTCAGGTTTGGGCGCTCCCGAGGAAAAATTGTGTCGACCGCACGAAGGCACCCACTCACCGCAGGGAAGCCTCCGCGATGAGGATAACTCTGGGCTCAATCGGGGACGCTGAAAAGTTCCTCCTTCTGTCATACACCCTGGTCATCAACAGATCATCCGACATTACAGCTAGACCTGGCTGATCGTGAGTGTCATGAAAGACATTTGGATGAGCAGCTGGTTCACTAAAACCCACAACCATGCTCGTACATGGAATGTCTGAAATGGTGACCGGTACCCCAGGTGGTAAGTACACCTATGACGTCCGACAGTGGGAGTGGTTATCGGCTCGGATGGAGCTGAGTGAGGATACAGCTGCGGCAGTTAGCAGACTGCTACGCCCCTTGCATCTGACAACCATAACCCCACGTAGACCAGTGGCTGTTTTCTTCGAATCCCCGGAAGTACTCACCAGAGTGCTAGAGACGTGACACAAAGTCAAGAGCACCGCGAGCGGTGACGCTTGCTGCTGTGGAAGCAGACCGAGGACACTGAGACAACAACAGACAGCAGTCACTCCCTGTGCTCAGGCCACCGTAGACCTAAACCGAGACGTGGAGCGTTCGACCAGCGACCTCGACCCAGCACCGAGTGCACCAATCGATCCTGGAAAAAACTCAGCTGGGCTAATTCCATTGAAACCGGCCAGTCAGCAGGAACCCTCACATTAAAACCTGTACCACTAGTTAACCCAGAGACATCTCACGTCACGAGAAGCACCCGCAAGTGTTTTTACAGCAATATGGGAGAAGTACGAAGTAAATTGTGAGATCTCCGACTCCTCCTTTTCCACTTTGTCCCGAAAACCATGGTCCTGACAGTAACGTGGTTGTCACCAGACATAAGCGAGACCGAAGTTAGCAGGAGAGACAGAGAACATACGGACGGAGGGGGGTTTGCAATATACGTGAATAGTTGGTTCAGCAGTGAACAAACCAGTGACGAAGTACTGACAGAGCTCCGAGACTCTATCCGGTGTCGCTTTACGGTCAAACACCAGATTCCTAGTTGGAGGACTCTGTAGGTCCCTCAATAGCAGCTTAGAACACAACCATAAACTACTCCAAATAATATGCGGTGTCAGCCATGGGGTACTACCAGATTCCAATAGCTGGCGACTTCAACGCTCCAACCATCAGCCTAAACCAGGGTGGCACGACTCCGAGCCGAAAGTTCGATTGTAACCTGCTAAACGCCATCCAAGCGGCTGGACTTCAGGGAAAAAATCAGCGACAACGCCCGCCGGAGGTCAGATAATAAACCGTCTACACTGGATTACCTGCTGGGTAGTGATCACCTTCCGGTTAAAAACGTCCAGACGCAAACCCCTCTTGGAAGCAGCGATCACGCCATGGTAGTGTTAGACCTGGTATTCAGTGAAAGATTGTCGTGGAAGGGACCTCGCCCTTACCTCTGTTACAACAGAGCAAACTACGAAGGTGTGAACAAAAGCCCATTAAGAGCTCCGTGGCCAGTGGATTGGTGTTCCCTATCGATCGACCAGCACTGGGAACTGGCAAAAGACATCATTAGGACTGCCATCTCGCATAACGTCCCCTTGGTGGTAACAACACCGAGAAATCAAATCTCATGGCTAAAACGGGGCGCTGAGCGCATTCTAAAGGCCAAAAGAAGGGCAAGGCACAAGTGGAGACTCTCCGGAGAACAAGACGACAATGACGCATACATGGCTCTACGCAATGGAAGCAACATCAGGGTGCGGGGAGACAGGAGGCTTGGGGTAAGCCCCAAAAAACCTATGCCGAGGCAAAGAGGAAATCGACAAGTCAAGGAGCATGCGTCATTAAAGGTCCGGACAGGAAAAACCCCCCTGGACTGGAGATCTCCGAAGTGTTGAGCACCACATATGACACACGGCTCAACACTCAATCGAGGAAGTACGCATACTAACAGCCAGAACAGCCCCCAGCGTTACCCGTTGCTGAGGAGTTACATGAAGTACACATGACCCGCGCTGTTGTTCCAGACAAGCTATCAAAGCCAAGAGCAGAAAAGTCAGCGGGGTGCGACGATATCCGCCCATCTGTGTTGAACGAATGCGTAAGTACCCTACGTGGCCCATTCTGCAATCTTTTCCAACAATCCTTGGATGAACAAAAGCTCCCAAGACAGTGGAAACGGGCTATCCTTTCTGCCATCTTCAAAGGAAAAGACAGACGGAATCTCAACTATTATAGACCCATAGCACTTCTGCCGGTAGTATCAAAGGTTACGGAAAGTGTGATGGACGGCCGTATCAGGGAATGTCTGAACAAGAAACAAGCACTCAGTGACTCTGAACATGGCTTCCGGAAAGGTAAGTCCTGTGCCTCAAACCTCCTGATGGCCCATGACCACTGGACAGCATGCTGGGATTTCAAGGTCCTGGCCCACGCGATTTTTCTAGACTTCGCCAACGCCTTTGACGCCGTCTCTCACACGATCCTAATACAAAAGATAGCTAGGTTGGGTATACGCAGCCAGGTGCCACTGTGGCTGCAGAACTACCTGGACGATAGGGAGTTCTGCACGAAACTCAGCGGCGTCTACTCGGCTTGGAGAACATCCTCGTCTGGTGTCTCACAAGAAGCAATCCTGGGTATACTGCCGTTTCTACTGTTCCTGAATGACCTGCCGTTACATATCCGCTCCCAATTCTCCTATACCCTGATGGCCTCAAGTTATGGAAGGCAGGAACTCGCGAAGCGGAACCGAAAGCATTACAGAACGATCTCAAAACACTAGAGGAATGGGGAACTAATAACAGACCGGGATTCAACCTGGATAAGTGCCGGCCCATGTTTTTCCGCTCTCCTGATCCCCGGAAAGTATCCTACTATCTCTGTAGCTCACGTCTATCCCATACTACTGTAGAGAAAGACCTGGGTTTGACGGTGACGAAGAAACTGGACACCAATTCCAATTACCCGGGTGATGCCTCGAAAGCATATGTTGTACTACACTTTGAGCGTAGATAACTAGGTGCTCTCACTTCAGAGCTCTTTCTGAAGCTCTACAAGACTTACATACAACCCCACTCAGAGGTCCGTAGCGTCGTCGCTCCAACACAATTGGAAAGTGGCACTAATCTACTGGAGAAAGTTCAGAGGCAAGCCACGGAAGGAGTTAATGGGATGCAACGAAAACCATATGAGAATAGGCTGAAAGACCCAGGCCTATACTCTCTTGGCTACCGAAGGTTACGGAGTGACTTGATAATAGCTAACAAAATACTTAATAATTCAAGTCACCCAAACAGAGGAATACTACCGAGTGGCCACTATGGAGATCCTCGAGGAAACCCTAAGAGAATGGCCCACCAAAGGTCAAAAACGCATTTGCGTTCACAGTTCTTCTCCCTCCTAGTCTGCGGGTGCTGGGACGCACTACCAGTAGAGGTGGTCTCCATCCCGACTATTGAAAGCTTCAAGAAGAAGCTAGGCAGTCACGCAGAGACCCACGGTCTACCTACATATAGCTGGGACACGAACTAAACGGACGAAATCAACCGGTGTCAAGCCACCCCAACTATTTTGACTTTACAACCAGTTCTCTTTCGAAGGTATCCTGACCAACAATGGACTGTTGTAACCACTTAAGCCCTTTTCATCCCTTCCACTTGCCACGAGTTAGCCTCACTTACCTAAGTTCTTCATACCTTCGCACCCCTCCTGGCCTTACTTGGTTGTAAGTAGATCATTCCAGTAGTTCACGTTTCTTTTCCCTTTTTACTCTCACAAACTCACCTTCCTAGGTTTTCTCTTCATTATCCCCAACCCTCTCTAGCGAACAGTCCGAACAACTGTCTGGCAACTCGACTTCTGAAGAAGACAACTGCATCACAGTCCAAGGCAAACAAACCAACACTCAACTTCCTGTTCTATAAATCAGATCTATAGCAGACGAGTGGTTGGATCTACTGCATCGGTGTCTGCCAAGGACCTGGAACCATTCCGCAAGACCAAGAAGCGAGCAAGAAGAAATCAACTGGTTTATACAAGCTAGTTAAAAAGATATTGGATATTGGGCCCAGAAACGAGAGCTCAAAAACTACAAGTTTTCTTTATTCGCACCATTGATGTTGGATATAGGATATCCTGCCCAGCGCTAATAATGAAAAAAGGTCGAGGTCAAACTATTGACAAGGTACTTTCCTGTGACAAGAGGTATAAGTGCTTGAAATAAATACTTATCCTTAGTGTCAGTCATGAACATAATAAAGTTACATCAAAGCACAAGAAGGCTAAATTTCATGAACTGCTGGCTTGGCAAAAGGAATTGAAAGGAGTAAGTTATTTCCATTGTATTCCCTCTACAGGTTAGATAAAACGTGAAAAGCAGGAAGAGATTGAGAAAAAACGACAGGAGCGACTTAAGAAACGTAAAGAACGCAATGTATCTATGCAAAAGTTGACCAGAAAGGGGCAACCGGTTATGAAGCACCGCATTAAACTTCTTTTGAAACAGCTATGCACGGATAATTCTTGAATAAATCCTGTTGATGCCGCTAATGCTTAAATTCTATAGTACGGCCGTGGACTTTAATTTATAGAAAGGATATACGCATACACATTATTTCTAGATTGACTATACTCAATCCAGAAGACCCTTACTGGTCTTATAAAATTTTGACAGAGGAGTCGACTCATCTGTCGCAATCGCTCTATAGTGGTTTCTGCTACGTGAGTTGGCAACTATAAAAATAGTATCATGAGAAATTCTCAAGTGTATCGTCTGCGTTGTATTTTAAAGGGGGGTATTGCAGGGTGTCTGTCTATTTTTTGTCATTATATACAGCCTAGTTTATGAAAGGAATAAATTCTGAGTGCCATCACAAAAAACAACATAAAAAAGGAGAACCTCTATAGTAGCGACAAAAACATGATTATTCGTATACAGCCAGTTACGGAATACTTAGAAAAGTACACGTCAAACTGGTAGTCGTTGATGCACTATGTCTTACCGAACGAAGTAGTCTCAAAATTTTGCAATGCCATCAATTCGAAAAATACTGATGGCCAAACTAGATCAGTGTCCTTACAATTTGGATAAGAATGAGAACCACATACATTAACGGTTTGCAACAACTCAACCCATGCATCGATTAAAAAGAAGTATCATCGTGTCTGTTAAGGATAAAGCAAGTAGTCCACCTTGTTATTAATTTACCTACATGTGGCAATAAAGATAGCAAGTGAAAACTAATTAACAGGAAGATTCCACAATGCTATTCATTGTCACTGAACACTCAGAAAGACTGGGCATTAGGGATAAAAATCAATACGTTTGGAGTGAGAGAAGGCTAAGAAACACATAATCGGTTTAGAAATGACGTTACAGTTAATGGGAGAAATATTAGAAACTACGCTGAAAATTCCAAATGATGACTATTGAAAGCGCTCCCACTTAACTGCTTTGTTTAGAAATAGATTACTAATTGGTGTATTAGTCATTCTAGATGTAGAAAAGAGTGTAGTAAATCAAATTAGTTATAAGTAATGTACAATTTCGAGTGTCTATCAAGCTTGTGTTTGTAGGACTGTTGTAGTAGCCTGAGACACCTACTAGAGGAGAACATCCTAAAACTTGATAGCTCTGAGTGAAGGTTACACCTAGTACCTATCATACTATTTTAAAGTTGTGTCTTATAAGTGATCCCTCTAGGGTTTGTGTTGGGTCTTAGCTTAAGTATGCGATGAAGCTGGTAAGAAAAGATGGACTCTGTTGAGGAACCCATTCATCACCGGTGTTGTAGCTTTTTGAAGTGTGTGTTCTGTCTTCAGATCAACCATTAGTTCTTACGGACAGTAGCTACTTACGTTACCTAATGATCACCTTATTTGTACGAGCTGTGAAAGCCATCTTACATGAGAGTGGATCATGTGAGTTATTACTTTGTCGGTTAGAATGTAGATGGTAGGACATTAAATTGGCTGTATTTTACCATGATGTTGAGTGTGAGGTTTATGATTTGTTTTTAGATAAGTTAACCGTCTGGCAGTTAGTTTGTCTCTGGTTATAAGAAACTCCGTCGTTACAGAGACACGGACCAGCTCGTTTGATCGTTGGTCTTTACAATCTGCTGTGTCCGTAGTTCTTGTATGTGTTAAGTAGGTTTCTGGTAACAACTGGCGATAACTACTCAGCTTCAGATGTAATCGTTTTAATGAAGATAACATAAAATTTCACCTGGCACCGTGTAGCTCTTGGCACTAATGACTAGATTATCATTTATAAGTTCATAGCTACCAGTGTTCTGGGTTAATGCCCTGGCTCAGCTCAACTTATGAAAGGCTGGTACGGCAGCAATTAACTCTGTAACCCCTTTAGAAAACCGAAAAGTTAACCAGTAACCTGTAGCCAAAGCCGCACGGTGCTTCAGACTACTATATTTCCATGTACCGTAGCCGTTTGTTCCATAGACTATCTCATAGGAACAGAAATGTTGTCCTCATTGGATAAGCTGTGAAGTTCGTACTGAGGCAAGAGAAATTGTGTTGGGTATTTGTTGCTGTTATTAGTACTCAAAGAAATAAACCAATAAAGAATTGTCTAAGTAGTTTTCAGATATTTACTACACAGTTCACAATGGATTAGTGCAAGTAGCTGTTCTTGTGTACCGTGGCATTTCTCCCCTAATTTATATCATGGAAACATTGGAACTAGTTGAAAGCGATAGGACTATTGTAAAAGGCTACTTCATTGGGTTTAATATAAAGTCTCTTCCAGGTAATAATTAATCACTATAAGCACTGCTAAAAGCAGATTGTAGAGCTCTGATTCAGTGGTTTAAGAAAATGACTTTCAGTCTACAAGTCACAGGCCCGAGCGCTGCTCCACCTAACTAGGTTTCGACAGTCGGGTAGTATAACTAGCCCTCACACAAAAGTTGTGGCTCGCTACCTACTACAAGAATGTGCACAAGGTTGCTGAGTGCGCTTCATTCGTTCGTTCGAAAAGCAGATTACATCCTGTAGACGTCGATCACTACCCCGCTGCGTCAACATGATTTCTTCGGTATACTGACCACTCTGCATACATGAAATTCAAAAGGATTAGAGCAACTACAGGTAAAGCAATTGAACCACGTAGCCCTGTCATCAGTCTCCATACTCAGATCACTCATCAACAAAGAATCCATCTTGAGATAGAGGATATTTGTAGCTCAGGAGGGTAATTCTGATGGTGTTAAGTTCTCCGAACTGGGTGGTTTATTCGTGGAGCTTTTATTGTCATTCTAGATAAACTGATGAATATATTACTAGACATTGAGTAGATAACTACAAATCCTTGGCAAAATCGGTAGCTTAATGATAAGTTGACAACTTAAATTTTCCTTCAGAATCAGCGTGTTACGTAAGTGGTATCATCGTTGTATTGTAAATTATAACAACGGGTACTAGGCAAGTCTATTGATGAGGTTGTGAACCTTCATCAACTAAGGTGGCTTGGACATGTATTGCATATACCGAGTCACCGCCTACCTCAACGTACCATACTAACGAAAGGTGGAGTAGGTTAGGACAGGGTTCAGAGTGGCCAGACAATTATGTGGCATCAGTCCATGAAGTCGCTAAGTGTTGGTTTGAAACGCGTTGCGAGGTGTAGATTACTTGACTGGGGTCTATGAGACGATAGGAATCAGTGGTTGAGGACTCTTGGTTGCGTGGCTGGAAATCGGTCAAAGTAGTGTAGACATATTCACTATTTGATGTCTTCAAAAGTTTGAATATTTGCACTAACCAGTATCTTGTATTACACGATATTTCCTAATTTGATATCAATTTTCTTATATCCACTTGCTCTTCGTATGGTACTGTGAAGTGTGGCAACTTGAACCAATGCACTTGTGTGCGAAATTCTAAGTTGATTGCACCTCCCCCCTCCCCATCTCTTTCTCTCTCTCTCTCTCTAGAAGACGATTATTTTCAGCTTACACCTTAGTTACTACAGAATCTTTCTTGGATGTTTTCATAACATGTGCCTAAATCAGTCCTTTTACAGCGAAATTACGTTGATAGATGAAGTAATGAATCGTTGCGCAGTGTAATCTGATCTCAGTTATTCAAGCTGTTTTTTAGAGATCTATGTAACTGCTTTGTTTTTAGCATTCATAATTTTCTATGAAGGATTTCAGTGCTTCTAGAATACATCCCTACTCTAAGTGATTGTAAGTATTTCCCTATTAGTTATAGATTTTTTATGTCTACACACTCGAACGTGCAAACATTACGTACAAGTGTATAAAAATTTATTTTTAATGAGTTGGAATAACAAAATTACGCAAATAAGCACAAGATACTAACCGATTGTCAAAACTGATTGAGAGAAAGACCGGTTTAAATGTTTAACAAAACTCAATTTTCAAATTATAAAGCTTTCTAAACTCCAGATAAATAATAACATCTGACGAGTGACTCTAAAAGACCATTCTAGCAACAACTGAAATTGTCAGTTAAATTTATTAGTTTATTGATGAAAATCTACCACTCTAGCCACAATAAAGAAGCCTAGTTGCTAATTTCACTGCATCCTTAGGCATAAGAATCAGCAATTCTAAAGGCCAACCTAGAAGCCACTGGAATAACCAATGAGATTTCTTAAAATTTAGCTTTGATAGGTAGTTTGCAGTAAATTGGCAAAACCCAATTGATTATTTCAGCAGTAACTTGGGTGACATGTGGAGTTGCTCCATATCAGCCTATTTTTACCAGTTAGCAAAAGCTCCTCAGCAGTCTTTGGTGTATCTATTACGAAACACCTCATACTTAGAAAAAATACAAAATGTGTTAGAAAGTACAGAAAGACATTTATTATTGTATTATTTTTCCTCTGGGTTCTTAATGGAACATAGGGCAGCACACTATTCTCTGCAAACTTTCGAACCTGGTTCCACGATAGCCCACAAGCTCTAATTTCTTCCTCACACTATCTCCTCCATGTCACCCTCGCCTCAAACGCCCGACTCGTCGCTTCCCATATGGGTTCCACTCGAGTTCCTGGCCTGGTGCGTGATGTCCCCGAATGGTCTTCTCAGTGCATGCCCAACTCATCTCCACCTCCTTCTGCACATTTGTTGGGCGATAGGTACAGAAAGACATCTGACTGAATAATATTTTTCATGCAAAATGTGAACTAAATATTCCTTCTTAACCTTGGTCAAAGATAGTGTCATTTGGTAGTTTATGATTTTATTTTTAATCGCCGCCGAAAGTTTTGTTATTGACATTTACTAGTTCATTATTAACCAGTGTCTGAGACGAGAATTTTTCCATGTTAAACTTGGCAGTTATATTGGTCCAGTAAAATAAAGTATACAAATAGCTATGTTTTTAGTTAGTTTTCTGTCACCTTCTTTCAAAGCAATAAATATTTGCCTTCCTAGTCTTGTCTTCTGTGTCTTTCCCTAGTGTGGGGACAGTATTTCAGTGATCAGCATCTATTGTATTGTGTCGAAATGCTGTCAGTATAAAACGATAGTACCTAATTCGTAACCCATCAGCTAGGAGATATCCACAATTCAGTATTATTTGGTAGCATCAAAAACACTGTCACATAAATGATCAACAGTACTACAGACAGCCAGATAGATTGTAATTTGTAAACCGTGTGTTTTGAAGGCATTTATTATATGTATGTCTGTATAGAAGAATATACCAATTGGTCACTGGAGAGTAACCAATTTCACATTAACTAGTCCTTAATACCA